TCATGATAGCCAAAAAATGGAAACAACCCAAATGTCCATCAATTCATAAATGGATAAACAAATGGTGGTATATCCACATAATGGAATAATATTCAGCCATAAAAAGGAATGGATTGTTGATACATGCTACAAATGGACAAATCTTGAAAACATTATGTAAAAGTGAAAGAAGCAAGACTCAAAAGGCCATATATTTTATGATTCCATTTATATGAACTGTCTACAATAGGCAAATCCATCGAGACAGGAAGGAGATTAGTGGTTGCCAGGAGCTGGTGGGGAGGGGACAATGAAGTGACTGATAATGAGAATGGGGTTTCTCTTCAGACATGAAATTTTTTTAAGAGTTAGAGACTGGTGATGATTTTACAACCTGTGGCTGTGCTAACCACCGCTGAACTGTATACACTATATAAGGGTGAGTTTTATGGTCTATGAATTATAGCTCAATAGAGAAAAAATTATTAGGGCCTTGTCAAAGGAATTCAGGAGTCATCTTGAAGAGACTTGCGATGGATCCAGGATGGTATAATTTGAGCTTCATAAATGGTGAAAATTGCAGTTGGTTGAAACCCAGCAAATATTTTTATCTTGTTAAAATTTTTTAATTAAAAATTTTTTTAAAGATTATGTATTTGAGAGAGAGAGAGAAAGAGCATGTTGGGAAGGGGAGAGGAAGAGAATCTGAAGCAGACTCCATGCTGAGCGCAGAGCCCAACACGGGGCTCAATCTCACAACCCCGAGATCTTGACCTGAGCCAAAACCAAGAGTTGACACCTAACTGACTGAGCCGCCCAGCTGCCCCCAGCAAATATTTTTAAATCTATGAATTCATAATAACATTAAATGAAAAATTATTACCTTAGAATATGACAGGGAAATGATTTGTTATCTTGAAAACTTATCAATAAAGGAAAAGAATGCAGCATTTATTCTGTTTTGTCTATATGAATTGCAGTACAGGGTAACGTAATAGTAGATTAGGGGAATTGTCTCTTTTTAAAAGTGTTCTATCAATAAATGAAAAAAATTATAGTACTAGAACATCATTTTACAGTTTAGTAAATGAAGATCTGAGCATCAACAAGTATTATCATAGGAAGGAAAACAAAC